TAACAAAGGAGAGAGAAAACTCAAATCATTAACATATGTGATGAAAAAGGAAATATCACAACAGACACTACAGAATTATAGAAGATAATTAGAAATTATTTTAAAAACCTGTACTCCAATAAAATAGAAGATATCGAAGGCATTTCTAGAGTCATAGAATTTGCCTAAATTGAATCAGAATGATATATATAATTTAAACTCATCAATTTCAAGTGACAAGATAGCAGATGCCATCAAAAATCTACCAATCAAGAAAAGCCTAGGACCAGATGGATACACAGCCGAGTTCTACAAGACCTTTAAAGAAGAACTAATACCAATGTTAGCCAATTTATTTCACGAAATAGCAAAAGAGGCAGCCCTTACAAACTCATTCTATGAGGCAAATATCACTCTGGTTCCAAAACCAGGCAAAGACACATCAAAGAAAAAAACTTCAGACCAATATCTCTAATGAACATAGATGCAAAAATTCTCAATAAAATTCTGACAAATCGAATACAAAAACATATCAAAAAGATCATGCACCATGATCAAGTGGGATTCACCCCAGGGATGCAAGGTTGGTTCAACATATGGAAATTAATAAATGTAATTCACCACATCAGTAGACTTAAAGATAAGAATCATATGATCAGCTCAATAGATGCAGAAAAAGCATTTGACAAAATACAGCTACCTTTTATGTTCAAGACACTAGAAAAACTAGGGATAAGAGAAACATATCTCAACACCATAAAAGCTATCTATGTTAAGCCCCAGGGCAACATCAGTCTAAATGGAGAAAAACTGAAGGCATTCTCTCTAAAAACTTGAACAAGACAGGGATGCCCTCTTTCACCACTTCTATTTAACAGACTTCTTGAAACATTGGCCATAGCAATTAGACAGACGAAAGAAATTAAAAGGACACACATAGGAAAAGAAGAACTCAAATTGGCACTATTTGGTGATGATATGATTCTATACCTGGAAGACCCTAAAATTTCCACCAGAAAACTTCTAGAACTAGTAAATGAATTCAGCAAAGTAGCAGGATATAAAATCAATGCCCATAAATCAAAGGCATTTCTATATATCAGTGACAAATCATCTGAAAGAGAAATGAAGAAAACTAACCCATTCTCAATAGCCTCAAAAACAATAAAATACTTGGAAATCAACTTAACAAAAGAGTTGAAAGATGTATATAATGAAAATTACAGAAACCTAAAGAAAGAAATCAAAGATCTTATAAAATGGAAAGATCTACCTTGCTCTTGGATAGGCAGAATTAAAATTATCAAAATGACCATACTTCCAAAAGCACTATACAGATTTAATGCAATTCCTATCAAAATTCTAATGACATTCCTCATAGAAATAGAAAAAAGCAATCATGAAATTCATCTGGAAAAATAAGAGACTCAGAATAGCTAAAGCAATCCCTAGCAGGAAGAGTGAAGCAGGTGGCATCTCTATACCAGACCTTAAACTGTACTACAGAGCAATAGTAACAAAAGTAGCATGGTACTGGCAACAAAACAGACTGGTAGACCAATGGTACAGAATACAGGACATGGAGACTAACCCTCTAAACTACAATCATCTTATATTAGACAAAGGTGCCAAGAATATGCGTTGGAGAAAAGACAGCCTCTTCAACAAATGGTGCTGGGAAAACTGGAAATCCATATGCAACAAATTAAATTAAACCCCTATCTCTCATCATACACAAAACTCAACTCAAAATGGATCAAGGGTTTAGAAATACAACCAGAGACCCTGTGTCTAATACGAAAAAAAAGTAGGCCCTAATCTCCATCATGTTGGATTAGGCCCCAACTTCCTTTAAAGACTCCTGTGCACAAGTATTAAAATCAAGAATCAATAAATGGGGTGGACTCAAACAAAATGGTTTTTGCTCAGCAAAAGAAACAATCTGTGAGGTGAATAGAGAGCCTACATCTTGGGAACAAATCTTTACCCCTCACATATCAGATAGAGCAGTAATCACTAGGGTATATAAAGAACTCAAAAAGCTAAACACCAAAAAGTTAAATAACCCAATCAATAAATGGGCCAAAGACCTTAAGAGACACTTCTCAGAAGAGGATCACAATCAATCAACAAATACATGAAAAAATGTTCATCATCACTAGCAATTACAGAAATGCAAATCAAAACCACTCTTAAGATTTCATCATCACTCTAGTCAGAATGGCAGCTATTATGCATACAAACAACAGTAAGTGTTGGCGAGGATGTGGAGAAAAAGGTACACTCACACACTGCTGGTGGGACTGCAAATTGATGCAGCCAATATGGAAAGCAGTATGGAGATTCCTTGGAAAATTGGGAATGGAACCACCATTTGACCCATGTATCCCTCTCCTCAGTCTATACTCAAAGGACTTAAAAACAGCATTATTACAGGGATACAGCCACATCAATGTTTATAGCAGCACAATTCACAATAGATAAGCTGTGGAGCCAACCTAGACACCCTTCAATAGATGAATGGATTAAAAAAATGTGGCATATATACTAATGGAATATTACTCAGTGATAAAAGATAATAAAATCATGGCATTTTCAGGTAAATGGATGGAGTTAGAGAAGCTAATGCTAAGTGAAGTTAGCCAATCCCCCAAAAAATAAATGCTGAATGTTTTCTTTGATACAAGGAGGCTGACCCTAGTGGGATAGAAAGAGGGAACATGGGAAGAATAGACAAACTCTAGATAGGGCAGAGGAATGAGAAGGAAAGGAAAGGGACATGGGGTTAGAAATGATAGTGGAATGTGATGGACATCATTATCCAAAGTAAAAGTATGAAGACACAAATTGGTGTGAATATATTATATTTACAACCAGAGATATGAAAAATTATGCTCTCTCTCTATATATAGTAAGAATTGTAATGCATTCCGCTGTCATATATAAATTTAAAAAATAAATATATTAGGTAAAGTAGAGCACAAAACCCTAATGGACATAGGCATTAAAACAACTTGGAGGGCTGGGGATGTGGCTCAAGCGGTAACACGCTCGCCTGGCATGCATGTGGCCCCGGTTCGATCCTCAGCACCACATACAAACAAAGATGTTGTGTCCGCCGAGAATT